TAGTACGTTACGTTACTTCGTTATTTCGTTTCGTTTCGTTACTTCGTTCGTTAGTTACGTAGACGTAGCACTACGTACACACACACGCTCGTCTCCTCTCTCTCTCTCTCTCTCTCTCTCTCTCTCTCTCTCTCTCTCTCTCTCTCATTCACATTTCACAGTCATGGGGCATGATTCATAACATCTCTCTCTCTCTCAAACACATTTCCACACACTTGTCAAGTCATATTATCTCACACAAGTTTCAAAAGTTTCTCACATAAGTATAGCACCCTCTCTCTCTCTCTCCACAATTTTCAAAGTTCTCATAAAATTCTCCCTCTCTCTCTCTCTCCTCAAAATCAAAAGTTCTCACATAATTTCTCCCTCTCTCTCTCTATCTACCACCACAATTTTCAAAGTTCACATAAAATTCTCCCTCTCTCTCTCTTAAAAAATCAAAATTCTCATAGAATTTTCTCCCTCTCCCTCTTTTCAAAAGCTCACGTAAATCTCTCTCTCTCACACACACAAGCTTACAAGTAGACCGGCTTATTGAACCTCTTTCATATCAAAAAGAATTTCTCTTTCTTTCTCTCTCTCATTCTTTCTCATCCAATCCCTCCTCTCTATCTCTAAAACACCCACACACTCTAACAAGTAGACCGGCTTATTGCAAAGTATACTCATTTATTCTCTCTCACACACATACAAACACACACACTATGCACTTAGACAGGCATTTTACCCTCTTCTGTGTTTACTCCTTTCCATAAAAATGCATGAGAAATAGAGAGAAAGAATGTGTGTGTTTGTGCATTAGGCATGGTAGAGAGAGAAAGTCGTGTTTGTGCCTTAACTACTTTGAGATCATTTGTTATATAATGAGATAGAGAGAGAGGGAGGGAAAGGTGAGAGAGCTGTGTTTCTTACTCTTGTTGAGAGAGAGAGAGAGAGATGTTGTGTGTGTTAGTGCCGTAAGCATTGTTGAGTACTATTGCAAGTACTTGTTCAATAATGAGAGAGGTGTGTTTGTGCCTTAGGGAAATCAAGGCATTGTCGAGAACTTTTAGATTCTTTCTTAAATAGTGTGTGAGAGAGAGAGAATACAATCTCTTAGAGAGAGAGGGGGAATGGGGTCGAGGTTGTAGTGGTAGCACTACCTCATTCTCATTTACGCATTCGAAAACAACTAACTATTTTTTAAAACAGGTCGGGGCATATGTTCCTCACCGATCTACCAAAAAAAAAAGAGCCTTTTGAGATATTTTAAAAAAAGTGGTTGGGTCATGATGGTAGCACGTCTCGTACCTTAATCGCATAACGTATTTTTTATTCCATTGGCAACTTCGAAAGCCTGACTATTTAAAAAACGGATAAGGGCCTATGTTCCTCACTTAAGTACTAAAGAGAGAGAGAGTACCATTGCTTAGAGAGAGTACCATATTTTAGAGAGATAAAGAGAGAGAGTACCATTGCTTCATGCACCGTTGTGGCTATTAAAAAACGGATAGGGGCCTATGTTCCCCACTTAAGTACTAAAGAGAGAGAGTTACATTGTTTGGAGAGAGAGAGTACCATCTTTTAGAGAGAGAGAAAGAGAAAGAGAGAGAGAGTACCATCGCTTCCTGCACCGTTGGGGCTACCATACCAAGTTGCATCGGCAGGAGACCACCCATCGCTATATTCATCCAATTTGAAACGCTTTGAATTAAAACATTCACACACTTGCAATGGTAATAATACACAAACAAGCAGCACAACAAGCATTTGATTGTAGAAGAAAGCAAATAGAGACTTAGAGAGAGAAAATGTAGGAGAAGTAGAAGCCATGTTTAGGGAGAGAGAGAGAGAGAGAAGCGAGTGAGTATGATATTATGCAACCCAGACTATGGTTGCTCCCTTTGCTGGTTGCTAATGCTAGCTCTAAGCCTTAGTATTTATAGACCAAGGGCACTTACTATTCAAATACATGATATCAAACCGATGCCCCTCTCTCTAGGTGGTTAAGCTTGGATTGGGAGTTTGAACTTTGGACGTTAGTGCCTAACCTCTGATCCATGTGGGGTCCCCCTCTCTCTCTCTAAGAAACACCCTCACTCTCTCTCTAAAAATTCCTTAAAGTCATCTCCTCTCTAACATAGAAACCCCCTCTCTCTCTCTAAAATTTCTCTAAAGTCATCTTCTCTCTAACATATGAGATATCTTCTCTCTCTAAAAAGAAATGGCAATCTCCTCTCTCTAAAACTATTTTTCCTTTAAACAAGAGAAAAAAACTTCTAAAAAGAGACTCATCATATTTTAGAGAGAGATTATCGATTTGCGGTTAACGACAAATAACAACTACATCTCAAATTCGATTCCTATCACTAAACCGCTAAAAAGAATCCTTAAAACTTTCCTCTAAGGTATAAGGTCCCCTTTCTCTCTCTAAACAAATTCCCCCAAAGTCACCTCTCTCTCTCTAGATATGAGGATCCCCTCTCTCTCTAAAGAACCTTCCTCCCAAATTATTTTTTCATTACTCGTCTCTATGACATGAGGTTCCCCCCTCTCTCTAGAAGAAATCTCTCCAAAATTTTCTCTCTCTAAGATATGAGGATCCTCTCTCTCACCTTCTCTCTCTCTCTAATATTTAGTCTTCTCTCTCTCTCTCCTATAGAGCGGGGTCATGTCGGCACGTGGGACCCACACATGTCGGTTATGCACGTTTAGCTTGACCCAAAATTTACGGTAACCTTGGTTGATAATTAACCCACCTGTTGGGCTAGAAAACGATAGGGCCCTTAACTGGGCCGTTGATGGCGGTTATCAACCGTTGGATCTCTAGACAAACTGCACATCCGACGGATGTCCTCTTCCGTCCGTACAATATCGGACGGACTGGATTTGATCCGTACAACACAGTTTGACCCTACGCAACCGTAATCCTTGGCTTGCATTAGGGAGGTTTTTTCGCACGTCAATTTTTGGAAGAAGAGAAGGAGGAAAATGTCAAAATAAGAGTTTCATTTGGATTTTATGAGATTGATTGGTTTTTTTTCTTTAGTATATATTCTTTATTATTGAATAAATCAAGGAAATTAGATAGAGCAGGGATTGAGCTTTTATGGGTCCCCTATAAATAAAATTAATATGTTATTAGAAATTGAAAAAAATTGATATTGGTCTATATAATTTACATTTATTTCGAAATGGACGAAATATTTAATCTTGATTGAACGTTTGGCGGCGAGCCGATAATAATATCATATATCAATTACCAATTACCATAATAATTAACATTAATTATGCCTGCTTATTAGAGGCATTTTGATTAAGCTCGGGATATATATAAATTATAAACGTATAAAGACCCATAGAGTTTCCCATTAGAATATGACACGCGTTATGTAGGGTTTGCAACTTTGCATGCATCATTGGTTCAAATTGAATCTAGGTCTATCTAGGACCACATTTTGATTTTGCTTTTTATTTTTAAATTTTTTATTAAAAAATTTGTTTATGTTGAAAATTGGGGTGCTCATGCATCCAACATAGTTCACTCAGTAAAATAAATAAATAAAAATACTAAAATACCTCTATATATATA